TAGTTTTCCTGATTCCAAATAGTTTCAGAATGTTTCAGACTTATGCTAGGCCTCACAGCTCTATGGGTGTATAAATAGATGTTTTCCAACTACAGGGAAAAAACCTTTCAGTCTCCCTGGGAAAGCCTATGATGGGTTGATGTCAAAGAGCTTCTGGATGATTGCCAAACCTCAGCTTCAAGAGGAGCAGTGTGGTTTTTGTTCCGGCAACTTTGGAACAGCTCTACAAACTCATCAGTGTGCTCGAGAGTTCATGGGACCTTTATAAACCAGTCCACATTTGATATTTGGACCAGAAGACATTCAACTGTGTCCCAAATGGTGTCCTCACAGGGGCGCCTTAGGAATAAAGCGACACAGTCCCTTTATTAGCTGTCGTTCGGCACAAGCCAAGTAGGAGTCAAAATAATCTGGTTTAAGAACCTTTATGGACATGATTTCTAGTTGCAGCCAAGAGCCAGAGGAGGTCCAGTTTGGGGACCAGCATGTTTCTGCAGCTTTTATTGATTTTGTGGTTGTACAATTTCCGCTTGGGCAATTTGCAACTAAGTGACAAGCAAATGGAATTAAGAACAGATTCTTCCAAGTCTGAAGTCTCGACTGGAAAAGGTGACTCCTCCTCTTGAGGTTAGAGTGTTCTTTCCTAAAGTAGAGGAGTTCAAATATATTGGGATTTTGCTTATTGATAAAGAGAAAATGAAGCAGCAGATGGAAAGATGGGTCACTGTCATTTCCACTGCAATGCTGAAGCTTAACCCGTCTGTTATGATGAAGAAAAAACTGAGTCAAAAGGCAAAGCTCTCTATTTTACCCGTAGGTCTACATTCCTACCTTCACCTGTGGTCATGAAATCTAGATTGTTAGTCATCAAATCTGCCACAGCCCTACATGTTCTAGATTTGATTCTGACACATTAATTGGCAGGCTGATTATATGCCCTTAGAGTACCAGCGAGAATGTAGAACTTTCACCCCTGACTAAGCATACATGAAGTGTGTCAGAAAAGAGACTTGTAGCAAAGGTCAGTACTTGAACCCTTGTTCACTGCGTTAAGGAAAAGCCTCGATACATGACTGCATCCTCTACCTCTCCACCGCACACCACAACCAACTACAGATACTATCAGTGTATTGCTTTTCTCAGCACAGACCTCAGATACTGATCAGGTGTTAGGTAGCATGAAAATGTAAAGCATGTGCACTGACTAGATAAACTCATAATATTATTAGCTACTGATCTCTTAAAGCTACAGTGTGTAACTTTTAGCGACATCTAGCGGTCAGACTGCAGACTGCAGCAACATGAACATCTCCCCCCCACCGCTTCTCCCCCCCAACAGTACGGCGAGCGTTACGGGACAAAATGTCTTCCACGACGTCCGCATCACCTACCTTCTCAAGTGATGAGGTTTGTTTACATAGATAATTTTACAGATAGTATTTCATTAGTCTGTGTAGGGTATAGATTTCATGTAGACTTTAGATAATAAATATACCCGTTATTTTTTCTACATCGTTGTGACGTTTTGGCGATCTCGCAATCGCTAGTTTGTTGGCTCTGCGCTGCCGTAGCGCAAAGATGTCTGCCTCCATGGCTGCGAGACCCGCTCCTATGTAATTATAAATAACGAATTCTAAGGCAACGCAAAAATTAAGGTTAAGAGGCTGAGCTCGTAGATGATGATAAATAACATAGTTATGTATAATATATTACATTTCTGACTGTATATCCCTGTAATTATTACACACTGTAGCTCTATAATCAAAGGCTACTCCCTGGATTTTTTATAAATTGTCTCATTACGCTGCTTCAATAAAGGATCAACGAATTAGCTTTTTACATATTTCTTCTAGAGCTGCAAAGAAACTTTTACCCGACTATTATTTTTCTTTAATTAAGTTTACATTTTAATTATTTTCATGTTTCCTATTTCATACACCTCTATTTGTTACTAAATTTGAATATTTGTAGTCTTTTAATATGCTGGATCATGTTTTGTTATCTTTTCTTTGATTGAGCTGGACATCTTACTTTTTTAATTCTAACTTTGCTATATTGAGACCATTTTTAAAAAAAGGACTTGTTTCAAGAAAATTCTTTTTGAGGAGAAGAACCGTTTGAAGTCATGCCATGCGTTCCTGTGTAATGATTTTTCATGCTGTGCTGACGTCTTTCGGGCTTCCTGTAGTACACAAAAGGGAAAGTTTTCAAGCCTGCATCCTTTTTACTCACTAGAGGAGGCAGAATGAGATAACTTTTGATGCAGCCAATATTCTTTTGTGTAAAGAATGAGATAGATGAGAAAGAAATCAATGTAAACCAGATACGATAATCATATCAAGATTCAGCTCTGATACTGTATGTTTATACATGGACAGGAAGGCTTCATTTCCTGCAGAGTGAAAGATCTGCTATAGCTGCAGCAGGTGTGTGGGTGGATGGGGGGCAACTGATGTTAGAATGTAAGAAATTACTTGACACCTGTGGAAATAACACATCGAAACTGACATGGTTTTAAATACGTGCAGGCTGCCATAGTTGACACAAAACGAAATAATTGATTTGCAAGCGTAAGAAGCCTTCTCTGTGACTCCACATTAGGAGTGCTCCAATTTCACACTATTTTGTGAATCATCATTATTACACCACAAAAACTACAGAAAGCAGTAAATTGATGTCAACGTTGCTCCGGTAACCTTTGATGTAATTCAATGAATTAATGGATCGATTCATTGTACCAGCATTTTCAAAGGTTTTTGATGTAGAAATTATCTATTTAAATTATCTCAATAACTATAGAATAATTCTGTTGTATTACTGCTTTTTTTTTTTATCCTATCCTTAAAATACTAACATCATACACAAGAAAAAAAGGAAAATGTTTTTTGAGAGCTATGGTGGGTTTTCAGAAAGTGCTGTGCTGCATTGTATGATTTTGAGGAAGAGAAGATCAAATGTAGACAAAGCATTTAAAAAGTACTATAATACAGTAGTGTTTAAAGTTACGCCACATTATGGGCTGCAAATCTGTCACCAACCTCAGTGTCAACCACTGTGTTACAGGCACCTTGTACCATTGACTGAAAATGAAAGAAAGCAGAATGAAAAAAAAACGGTCTCTTTGGTTGCTGCTCACAGATGTCACAGTGTCACTTTGGGCAAAATACCACATAAACCAGACCAAAAAGCCAACATATTCTCACTATTAACTCGTCACATATTGACGTTTGGTCAAAGTCCCCTGTATGTAACATACTGACGCGCAGGTGGTACTGCTCACGTCAACATATTTTCACTCTCAACTATTCACATATCAATGCTTTGTCAGTTGTATAAACAACAGAGGATAATACATTTTAATTATGTGTACATTGGCGCCTTCTGTAATGATGATAGATAGGTGCTGAAAGAATATCTGCAATGTAATTCCCCCATTGCCTTTTGTTTGTTTCTGTTTTCAGAAAAAGATTTAAAATTTGGGAACTTCCATATTGTTGCAAAGAAGAGTTACGGTGATTTTGAAAAGTTTACACACCCCAGTTAAAAGGCTCAAGGTAAAATCCTTTCCCACTCTTTCACATTTAATGTGGGATTAATCCCATTCCATCTAAATATAATAAAAAATAGCCTGATTGCATTAATGTGCGCACCGTTAAAATAAACACCTGATGAAGCAAATAGTGATTAATTTTCAGCATGTGAATCCACTTCTCATATGACAGTATTTACTCCCTCTGTATTGCAGAACCTATGAAAAAATATTATGAATTCAACCTGAATGACTCCAGAAAGCTTATTTTTTTAGACTTTAAATAGGCTATTTATTCTCCTCTTATACCTGTGAGCCTTTGACCTTTTGGGTGATTTTTACTGACTTCATAGTAATTCTTAACATCAAATCCCTTTTCTTCGGCGTTCTAGATAATTATTGGTTATGTGGTTAAATTTCACTTCATTTATAACTTTTAAACTTGTATAACTTTATACAAAAGTTAAATCAAGGAAACCAAAACCCAGACCATGATGCTGCCACCACTGTGTTTCAATGTGATATTATATGTGTCACGCCTCTTTAAACGGTGACCCAAATGTTGCTTTTTGTTACATTAGAGCATAAGTAGTTCACCAACAAGGGTTTAAAAGTTTTTTACCAGGTCTAGATCTATTTCATAATAAATTATTTGGTTTTTATTGTTTTGGTTTTTTTCCAAGCCATTGTCTTTATTCTGGATTTGTAGAAAATACATGGACTGTTGCCAGATCAGAACACAACCAGTTCTTAGTAGATATTTTCACTGTTTTTTTGTTTCTTTTTAGCATTATTGCCATCACCTTCTTTACAGCCCTATTCACTAGTTTGTGAGTATACATTACTTACATCTACTTTGTCAGTTAACCATGCAGGTCAATGTTCTTAGTTTTACTGATTCACTTTGAACCCAAATTGTCAAGAATTACTTTTAGGATTTCACTGTATGATTGCAAAATCCTTATCCCTGCATTCCTCAGATTGTGTAAACATGATAAAGATTGATTTGCGATCATGCTTCTCAGCTATTTATATTTTTTAAAAGCCTTTTAATTCACCATGTCAAAAACGAATGTCAATATGCCAAGAGATTTCTAAACTACCTATTTCACTTCTTTTTTTTTTTTTTGTCCTAATTAAAGCCTCTGCTGGGAGAGTAGCATTGCAAGTCTTTGTAATTTAATGTTAATATTGTCTTATTATGTAGTTTCAGGTTATTATTAAAAAAAATACTTTACTGTTAAAGTCTCTTTAATCTAATTTAAAAACAACAAGAACTTTTAAAAAAGTTTTTTTAACCACCAGTGAAACCGAAATTGGGCAAATTTTAAAGAGTCAGCACATCCTTGGATCTAACAACTGTCTGACTTGTCGTTACTCTTTGGTAGAAATATAGACACAGTCTGGCTCCATAACTCACTCCCATTGTCAGTGTGGATAATCTTCTAACAATGTGGTGATTAGTACTCACTGTGATCCACAGCCGATCCCAGGTTCAGGAGTCCAGATAGGAGGCAGAACCACAAGCCTCCCGCTGCCATTGCACTTGCCTGTGAGATGTTAGCAGGTTAGATTCATTAAAGTCCTTCGTGTCTCGTTTGACATGGCTCATTTTCTAAAAAAAAAAAACTCCAACTCTGAACTTGGATATAGTGCATCTTAACACATTTCCTGACGAGGTAATCTAAACAGCCACAGTTTCTGTAGGGAAGTAAGAGATTTTGTCTGCGCAGGTCACAAAAGGAAGTCAGGCTGTAGCACTCCCTGTAAAGTCCAAGGAAGTTCCACACACCGACTTTGATTTGGAAAAACATATTTAAAAATCCCACTTTAGATCATTCAAAATAAGAAATAGTGACAAAATAAGTTCTATGGAAACATAAAAAGCAGATGTGACAAAAGATATGTCGAAGGTTCTGTTATCCTATTGTGGTATTCTGAGCTGAGTAGCAAACAAGGAAAGAGTTTCTCACCTTTTAAGTTCAGACTTACAAATCTGAGTGAAGACACTTTGAGGTCTTCACGGACACTTCCTTTCACTTGAACTGTTTCTCAAACCACGGGCTGCTGTGTTTTCTAAGCTGCTGCATTTGGTGCTTGTTTGAAACACCCCACATGAAATTTCCACTCAGCATAAAAAGTACCACTTACTCTTTCGTACAGGTAAAGCAGGATGATTCACTGCCAGTTAACCAGGTTTTGGTTGTATGCATATGTAAATGTAGGTCATCTGACCTCAAAAGCTTCTGACATGAATTTAAAATCTATATGTTGTAACAACTCAACCCTGAAAACTAAGGCCAGAAGAGCTATTCTCTATCAAGAATAGTTTTACTTCAATAGATAAAAGTAGATGCAAGCAAAAAGTTAGGTTTTTAAAGGACTATCTGGGACTATCCTAAAAATGTAATTCATGAAGTACAGAGAAAATGACTTTCTGTCCTGCAGCAAGGCAGAAGGAACAACCTTACATTATCTTTTTTTTTTTTTTTTATTGGCAGGTCTCCTCAACATCAGATTGTCCCTCATGCTTATTTGATCATTTCTCACTTACCTCTTTCATATTTTATCTTTTATATATATACATATATATATGTAATACTTTTAATCCAGCTTTAATATCAGAAGTAGCTTTTTTTTGTGGAAATTGCTTAGACTTTTTTTCATAACCTTCTGTCCCCTTCTCACCCTCTCAAGTACTTTCGGAACAACCTTCGGCTTCCTTTTTTCATTTTCATAACCGTCTTTTTTATCTTCTATCTCCCCATCACTACAAGGTGGAAAGACCAAAAACAAGTACAATAGATACAGGGTAAGATTAACCTGCCCTTTGCCCAATATGCAAATACAGAAACTACCTGATGTTATTTGATTTATGTCTATGATGGTTTAGGACGTATGCATTGTGAGGTACTTGCTGTCTTACTGTAAATCTGGTCTAATCTATTGGTTTTTCACTTTTTTGCGCAAGGCACTCCTAAGATTTCTGCTTCTTTTATTGTAATAAATCAGATAATTAATCAATTTTTATGATTCTGTTCCAATCCGATACTGATACACAGACTAAGCTTATTGGCTGATATAGGATACAATCCAATACTACTGTTAAAGTAATTAACCATATACTTTGTCATATGAGTAAAGGCATCATGCTTGACATAAACAGTGTTAAAAAGGTAACAGATTTACACAGATATGAGTTGCTGTGTGTTCTGTACACAATTAGGTATTGACAGGATCGAATGGCTGGACAGGCCTCATTCATCCGACATCCGATCCAGCTAATTGGCCAATATACTGTTGGGGCCGATATCCAATTCGCATATCGGATCAGTGCAGCTCTTTCATTCTTACTAGGAATGAAAATAATAACATTAACCTCCACTTTTATATTTGAACTTTCTGAGCCCTCTGAAATATCATGATTGAATGTTTATTTCACAGGACAGCCTTTTTTTTTCTTGATTAGTGTCAGGAACTCAGAGGTTTGGACCCAGAATTCAGACAAGGCAGACAGTGAGACTTTAAAGGAGTTTATTGAACAAGCTGTGTGCGGCTGCTCATCAGCTGGCGCGGGTTCACTGGATACGCTGGCAAAGTTCAGTCTGAGTACAGAAGGAGGAGTGAAGTCCGGAGGAGCTGAGCTCCGCAGCGGGAAACTGAGCCTGAACCAGAGATCCAGAAGGGAAGAGGAGCAGCGACCAGCAGCAGCCAGAGCACACAGAGAAAGCGAGGGATCCAGGAGGGATAAGCCAAGCCGTGGTCAGAAGGTCGGCAACAGGTAGAATCCAGAGAAACAGAACAGGCAAAACAGAGCAGAGTAGAAATCTCAGAAGTCCGGGGGGAGGAAACAGGTCAATATTAGGCAGAACAAACACTTACAGAGAAACGCTACAACTAGACACGCTGGAAGCTTGAATAATCTGGCACCATGGGCTGGGAACTGGTGGCATAAATAGGAGAAGAAACAGGTGGATCTGATAAGAGATAAATAGGACGGGGAGGAGCAAAGCAGATAAGAAGAAAAAGAGTAAAACCCAGCCTATGGTGCCAAGATCATGACAGTTAGCTTTTTCTTGCTTTTTTATATCCCAAGAAGTGAAGAAAATCATCTACAGTAAACACTCAGCACTGCCTAAAACAATTCCTCAACTTTCAAAATTATTTAATTTACAGATGTTTTAGGTTCTATGTACCATTAAGTACAATGCAAATGGTCGGACAGAGTGGTGTTATGCTACATTAAAAGCCCCGTTATAAATCAGGCCTTTGTCTGCTATGTCGATGAAAAAAAAAACTTTTGGACAATTTGATCTCCACAGTTTAAAGTAAAGGTTTTGGGTTATATCCTGCACAGTTGTCAAAACAACGTTTACAAACACATTGATGATTAAAGTTTGTATGAAAAAAATTTCTGGCCTGCAAGAAATCCGGACCTCAACTCCCGGTTGTTGTTTTTTCTTTAACCCAGTTTACACGAATTGCTGGTAACTTGTGTGTCTTCTGTTTTCATCACTCTGAAAGACCAAAGACATGTAGGGTAATTATGTAGGAAACTGCACTACACCACAAGTCCAGTGGGTGGCAGTAATAAGAAACCAGATACATCACAGCTGTTCCTTCCTTTTCCTCAACATAATGGCCGTTTCTAAATGCACAAGAACGTGAGTATGGACTCATGTCCTCACCAAGTATGTTCTTGAGAAGAACACAGGAAAGTGTGGACTTGGGGAGAACGGGAGCACGCAGCATAAATATGGGTAAATTGAAAAAAGCTCACAAGCTCGGCTTGTCTGGAGCTGTATTTCACCTCCTATTATTAATAGTCTCCAGATAATAATAAATTCTTACCTTTTTCATTACTGGGGGAATAATAATTAACACAGTCAGATAAACACAAATCAAATTAACATTTTGCCAAATAAAACAAAAATTTGATATCAAAGCCACAACGGCTATGCCGAGAAAGGGCTGCTGCTGACGGGGAGCTGCTGCTGCCGCAGTGCATGCTGGGACATACTTGTCCAAGAACGGACAAGTCTACCCTAATGCATACTCGGTAAAGAGGGAGGGGCGAGAACAACATCCGGGGACTTTGTCCATTCTGTCTTGTGTTCTTTGAATTGGAACAGGAGTAGGGCTGAGGCTGATGATGTTTCACAAGCACCAAAATGCACAAGTACACATATTGACAAACAGTCCATGTCTTTCAGCAAGCATCCATGACTGTGTGAGAGTGTGTCTATGCAGTTGTAAAAATGGGGACTGACTATTGGTCCACTTTTTTATTTAATTAAATTATTAAGGACTTTCAATCTCTGGAACCATAGTCCATTTTGCTAGCAACAGAACTGCATGGGGCAGGTTTAGCAAATTTGGGGCCCTAGGCGAAGACAGGCATGGGGCCCTCTGAATTGAGAAGACAAAATATAAAACAGACCCATTATACAGATACAGATGATACATGGCTATTTATCTAAATAACCTAATCATTTCTGATCATTTGTATCAAATACAAACAGAATTTGAAACTTAATTTTAAAATGTCCAATCTTCAATAACAAGCGAAGTTAGACATTGTCGTCAAACAGTGTCTAACTTGTTGATATGGTTAAGCCATCCGGAGCTTCCAGGACCAGGCTACACATGATACAAATTAGCCAGTGAGCTTTCTCAGTCTGGGTCACTGCGGCGAGCCACTTTTAGATACAGCAGGCAAACCTGTGGCAAGCCGGGTGATGGGAAAGAAGGAGAAGATGATGAGAAAAAGAGAGCAGAGAAAGTGTGGACTGCTGGAAGACCAGCGGTGAACTGGTTACAGAAAGGTTAAACAGTGTCCTCAAAGCTGACCCTGCACATTTTGAGTATGTTTGGGTCAACCTGCTGCTATGAAGCAGGATTCTCCATCATGAACATAAACAAAAATAAATATGGATCCAGGCTCAAAATGAGCACCTTGATATGTGCTTGAGAATGGCTTTGCCTCCATTCAAAGCCAGTTTAAAGCCTTGCAGGGCAGCATAAAGCCCACTGCTCTCATTTAGCCATGAAAAGGAAGTTCCACACATTTAAAAAGTCAATGCACTAGATGTTTATCTCCACCCATTGGATGGACACTCCCAACAGGTGTCAAAGTTATAGCTGCGTACCACTAGGGTAGCTACTTTTCAACTTTCTTGCCTGTTTTCTGATCTTCTCGTCGCTTTGCACCGTCTGTTTTCAAATGGTTTGCCGCTGTCTGTTTTGACCTTTCTACACACATGCAGCAAATGGATTGATCCAATGTAGTGGACACTAAAGGGGGAGGCTTGACACACACTTAATATTATAAGCATTCTGATGGAATTTTAGCAAAAGGAATTTTATCAAAAACATAATGAATGTGCACAAATAAGTAATAGCTGTATTAACCATACATGTAAAAGGAGGTTTATGAGCACCCACTAACCTGGGGCCATAGGCAACTTCCAAGTTTTGCCGAATGGTAAATCCGCCTCTGCTGGTAAGCTTCTGATAACACCTGGTGACTGAGAAAATTGTCAGTTCTAATAATTTAGCTTAAGACCAATACCTGGTTTTATTCTTTATTAGAATGACATCTTAATTAGCTTTAACTTCCAGTTCAAGTTAATAATATATAAATTATGTGCTGGTCAATTGCAAAACAAATATTTCAAACGACCTGTTTTGAAGCAATTTGGTCCTGAAGGTAGTGATTGCAGCACTTTCATGTGGGCGGGTCTAAGATTACCCGCAAAAGAAAAAGAAGCAGGGATGGGACAGTTACTTGGTCTACAATGCACCATGGAGGGCAGGATGACATGCCACTGTGGGAGTGTCTTGGAAAGTTTGTAAGATGGGGAGAGTTGTAGTTTTTTTAGAGTCCTGAGCAAAAGCCAAGCTGTGCACTCCAGTGATTATGCTAAAAACTAGCATTGCGCCAATGTAATTTTTTGGCCCCGATACCGAAACCTGGCTTTGCAGTATCGGCCGATACCGATACCATCTGTTTGAAATGGATGTGTGTGTGTGTATATATGAGGAACTGCGTACTACTTGGATGTAAAATAATTGCCATAATGGCTTTGTCAAGCTGCTGCCTACCTTTGTGAAGCAGGAAAAAAAAAGACTAATACAAAGTGAATCCAGTAGAACTTTTTATGGCCTACCTGGAATGGGTGACAATAGTTGAATAAACTTTTGACCCTCAAAATCGGTGTCCTATTTGTTGGTACTCGCCGATACCGATACCACCATTTTACTGCTGGATCGAGGCCCCGCCCGATACTGGTATCGGTATCGGTGCAACACTACTAAATACCAGCAAGGACAAGGTTTTCAATGTCCATAATTAATATCATGGTTTATGGCAAATCACCAAATACTAACTATTAAATGTAGCCTGCCTGAATTATATCCCAGTTTAATTTCTTGCTGGGGGTCAAGGTTTGTCAGGATTCAGCCATTCTTTCTGGGCAAAGTGAGACAGTTCTGAGCTTGGAAAGAACAGACATCTCCGATAACACTGAAGACTATTGGCAATAAAGCAATATCCTGATAAATCAAACATATTTAAGTTAGCAGTATTCTCATCAAAAAATAATTTACATTTTTTTTTTTTGTCACAAGAAGTGTATTATATTAAACTTTCACACTTTTGGCCGTTATACTTTGCCTTTAATTTGACAATCCACCTCATAGATACACTGCATTTTGCGGGAGCGTGGAAGAAATATCATATTGCAGAATCGAACTTTGCTCACTTTATTCACAAACAACCACAGAAATAAAAATCCAAGGCATACATTTTTGATGAAGCTCTCTTTTTATTTATAAGCTTTATAACAGTGTATAACACTGATAAATATACAATGTTCAGTGGAGTTTTTAGCCAATATTTTAACCATTACAGAAATATCTTTGATATCACCTGAAACCAAAAGAGCGTAATATCACAGCGTTCATAATCTTTTTACAACCGTAAAAACACAACCAAATATTTACAAATACTTTAAACATTTTTGCATTTCTATTTACATTTCTAATATACACCAGTGCTTGGAGAATCATTAGGGCACTCGTTTTTAGCAAACTTTGGACAGATAAACCGCTTCACTGAGGAAAGCAGCCTCTGATTTTTCTTCACAGCTTTTTTGTTTTGTTAAAGCACAAGTTACACAGCAAAAAATCCTTAACTGATCAGAAATGTTCAAGTTGCAAAATGAGAGCGCAAATAGGACACTACATTACTTTTTCATTGTACCTGTTCATTACCTGTTTCACTCATTCAAATCTAACTGTCATAAGTTTAACAAGGCAGTTTTTTCTGGATAAACAACCCTTTTGCCTCTAACTGGCATATGGTATCTAATTTCTTTCCAAAATCTGGAGGAAGGAGAGAGGGATGGTGAGACTTTTGAGACCTTTTCACCACTTTCCTCATCCTTTCTCAAATTTGAACACACCCTCCATCTTTGCCTTGTCTGCAGAGCCTTCCACCAGCACACAGCACCCTGCTTCTTCCTCAGATGGCGCACTGACTCTGGGAAGAGGGCCAACTGAGCCGGGCTGATTTCCTCCAACTCCACCAGAACCACCTGTAAGGACAGACCTTTATTAGACAGTAACTAAATCATAACAAAATTACTTTTCTCCATTATCTCTCTTTTTAACTTTTATTCAGCTCTAGTTTGTAATTTCTATGACCCTTGTGTTTTTTTGCATTAACAAGTCTCCTGCTTACCTTTATGGATCCCTCTAGAAGTGCCTTGTACATGGCTACCACACATTCCAGCTGCTGCCTCGTGTCCAAAAAGACTTTATCTCCATCATCAACATCCACATCGCAGCTGCTCTCATTGGTCGTGCTTTCGATCTCATCGCCTCCCTCACTGATCTTTGTAATGTTATTGTTGTTGCTGCTGCTGCTTGTGTTTCTTTTGAAAGTGGAGGCAGTGTATAGCAGGAGAACTCGGCGACTGGCCTGAAGGTTCTCGTCCACGGAGTCCATGATGGCTGAAGGAAGACCGAAATGTGTGTTAAAAAAAAAGACGCCTCATTTGAACCAAACCCTGTACATTAGCTGTATATTTTTGATGATGTAAGCTGAACCTATTTCCATTCTAATGCCTTCTACAACCTCATTTCAATAATTAAAGTCACAAAACAATCCACTGGACTTTGTTTCGAAGTTTGAAGACGTTTTGCTTCCCATCCAGGAAGCTTTTTCAACTCAGAATGTCAGGAATAGCGTTGAGTTCGAGCCTTTTTGGGTTTTTTTCTTTTGGAATGACTATAACCTTGATGACTGAGAACCTTCACCAGCTCCTGCAACCTCAAATGTATTTATATTTACTTTATCTCTGCCTGTTATTTACCTCCATCTATGTTCAATATACTCTGCTCCGCTTCCGGGTCACTGCTATACATTATCACTTTATCAACACCAAAAAAAATGTTTTGCTTGTAGACCACAAAGTTTAATTGTGGTCCCATATTTACCCTCTTTCCTTATATTTGCCATATCATGTAAAAGATATGATTGCATGTTTTCTGAAGACAAAAATATAAACAGTAAAGAAGTATGTGCATGGTGAAAAGGGGAGTTAATGCTTAGTTTACATAAAGTAACAAACCTAGATAAAAATTCAGACAGCAAAAGTGCGGATATTGTATAAGAATTAAACCTTAATCCTGCCTTAAGACTGCTGTCTTCCTTTTTGTCTGTCTGATGTCTGTTTGAAACAAAACCTTTACAGAGAAGAACTGCATTCATACAGAGGTAATACACTGGAAAAAATCAAAATCTAGACGAGTCATTTTTTTCTTAAAATAGGTGTATTTGCTCTTGGATTAAAGTAGTAAAATAGACATCTTGCCAACGGAACAAGGCAATTTACACTTAGAATAAGAAAACAGAATAGCATTGTTTAATTTCAAGTGCATATTATCTAATGATCTTATTTATCAGAGTAAAAATACTCATTCCGTTGGCAAACTATCACATTTACCTACTCAAATTAAGGAGAAATACACTTAATTTAAGACATTTTTACTTATTTCTAGATCGTTTTTCCAGTGTACACAAGTGGTAATTTAGCAAACAAAGGTAACTTAAGCAGATGGGGGGCTTACCCTGCCCCGGCTGGCAGTCACGCCCTGCTATGAAGAGTTTGTAGCCGCAGGCCTGTTCCAACACCTCAGGCAGTATTTGCAGGGCAAACTTTTCCACTTCCTCATTGAATCCGAGGGCACCAGGATTGGGGCATGCAACATAGGCGTCATACAGCTTGCCATCTAGATCTGAGAGAGAAAAGTTTTTATTAAAGTGACTATATACTACACACAAGCTATTTGCAACCTAAAGCAAAAGCATACAAAACAATGGTTTGAGAAAATAAAAGTAAAAAATAAACCCAACATGCATACATACAAACACACCTGAGGGCAATTTACAAAGACTGACTAACCTACTATAGCACACACAGATCCTCCCAATAGAATCTATGCATGCATGAGAAGGACGTACATTCTCCATATGGAAAAAGCCTAAGATGGCAAATAAACCCATTACTACTAAGCAACAGCGTCTGCAGCTGTTCCATTAAGCACTCCACAGTGAAATCACTGTTAGTTTATTTATTTTAAAGTTGCAAATTCAATAAGGTGAAACAGATATTGAGCAAAATAATAAAAAAGGTGAAAAGTTTGCAATTTATTACTTTACAGACCATTCAAATGCTAATGTTCCTCAAAATATAGCTATAATTATAATGATAGAATAATAGTGTGAGTGGAAATACTAAAACTTTGTATGTAAATTAAATTAATATAAAGAAATGACCCAACCTTGTGCTACTCAGAATATGATCCCCCAATTTGTAGGAATATATCTACTTTATCTTAATTTAGCCATTTTTGGATTAGTGCCCAGTGAGCCACATGTAAGAAACCTCACCAACCTGCTGTTCATGTCTTAAATGCCACCATTTGTACATTTTTAAATGCAATGCAATATGTTTTTGTTGGGGGTATTTTGCTTCGCTAGGGATATGTTAATAGAAGATATTTCACTTTTGTTCAACAGATTTACTGCACGTTATAATGTGTACCTTGTTGTCCAAAGTAAAGTAGAGTTAATGAAGCTTCATCCTTACTCACATATCTATTCAAGTGGAGGAAAAAGCTACCAGTATCTTCAGAACTAGGGGTGCTGGGGGGGGGGGGGAGGCTGAAAAACTGACACCCGCTCAAAGGTTACCTGTGGTGTGGCGCAGGGGGGGAAAAGTTGAATTATTCATAAAGGGCAGAGCTTGCATGACGATCAGATTTAAACTAAAGCTATTTTGATTTTGGGGGGGGGGGGGGGGTTGCTGAAGCAATTGTGTTGATGTAATTTGTTCAAAGATTTTATTTTTGTGCTGCATGTTCTTTTTATAAGGTTGCTTTGGTTGTAATAAACCATTTAAGACCAAAATCTCTACTTTTCCATTATGTCTGAGAGACTTTCTCTATACACACTTAGAGTAAAATTTCACTGAGGTGATCTTTAATTGTAAAACCATTTTACACCAGTAACCTTACTTGTATTGAAGTAAAGCTTTTTATCAAAATAACTGTATTTTTACTTGAGTACATTATTTTTATACTCTACCCCATCATTAGCTATTTTTTGGCCCTTTCATTAAAGGTAAGCATTCTAGAAAATTTGTGCCAGCAATTCCTCATTACAGAAACCCAATACATTTACACTTTGGTTATGAATCACTAATGTATATGCTATTGAATTTGCATGTTTTTATGCATGGAAACCTTTCGAAGTTAAGGTTACCAGAGTTTTTCCTGAAGCTAACTCATAACCATGACAATTAACTGTCAGTAAAAAAAAAAAAAAAAAAAAACTGTCAGTAAAAAAAAAAAAAAAAAGTTTGTTTTGTATTGAGTCATTTTTGCATCCAGTAGATATGCACGTTGGAAGGAATCTGTGGTTTACTGACATTCTGCAGGCGGTTAAATACCACCACCCCCCAAAACACACACACACACACACACACACCCTCCCATATTGAATGAGAGGCTGATGACATTTCAACTGAAAAAGCGCAGCGCCCTGTGGTTAGGTTGCTTCCTCTGTTTTGTGTCCTACTGTATAAATGTGATGATTTGTGACATACAATTGAAGATTCTATGGCTGTACTAATGTGTGGGAATATACAGTAGCTACTGCATGTCTTTCCTTCAATATGGAAGCTGTCAATCCTTTGTTTCAATTTTTTCCCAACGCTTTGTCTGTTTCCCAGTTTCATAATATACACAATATATTTTTTAGTTATACAACTAATGCAAAATTTTACCTTTATTTGCATAGACGACCGGACACGCCCTCCTGAACCAAAGTACAATGTCTATTTTGAAGGCGTAGTAGACGGCCACAGTGATGATAAAAAGAACAGTCACACCACCAGCAACTAATCCAATGGGAAGTATGATGTTTGGATCTGGGCAAATGAAACATAGCACAAATCAAGTTTAAAATGATTTTCATAAAGCATCAGGCATTTTTATTAAATATAGCTTGCTTTCTCAAATACATTTAAACATTTCAACAGTGTTTATATTAAGAATATTTGTACCTCCACATCAAAAAAAAAAAAAAAAAACTAAAGGATCTTCGTTTTTCTAATTAAAAAAGTAGTGACAGTGAATGCTGTGAGGCTAAAAATGAGCTTTCATACATTAATAAACATCTTTATTTTACTTATTTAATGCCTTCAGAGCTAAGAATCTAACTGGATGTAGCTATATAGTAACAATGAGGATAGATATACTCATGTGGATTTTTTGATTGTTATAACCAATGGATGTTTGAGTCACCAGACCGGGTGGCAGTGCTAAAGAGGGGGGAGTCCATCAACAGTTCAAAAGCAAACACCAGTTTAACTCAAGCTGTGTAATTGGATTTTTGTATTTAGAGATGTTCAGGGTTGAATTAAGATAATTAAGTCCTTCTATTATCATTGAGACCTTTTTCTATTTGGTCTAAGGTGGTGGCATTTGTTTTAGCTTTGCCCTCTACCTAATCACTCATCAGATCCACCTGCACCGGTTTCCTATTTAAGCTGCCTGTTTTCTAGCCATCGGTGCCAGATTATTCTTGAGCCTTTGGTGTTGAGAGTTCTCTAGCATTACTATAGTGTTCTGGTTGCCTGATCTTGATCTGTTCCTGTATTTGTACGTTTGAGCCTGCCTGCCCCTGTCTGATTAGTTTGTCTGACTGTCTTCGGACTCCTGTCAGATTCTTTTGTGGACTTGACCTGGATCTGCCTCTTGACTTCGCCCTGTGGATTGTCTTGTCTTCCTTCGTCAGCTCAGATCTAATGTCCTGTCAGCTCTGCAGCCTTCTGGGCTTCCTCGTCTGGAACTCTCTGGCAGCATCTGTTCAGTTGATCGGCTGGAATCAACGTCATTCTCTGGGCACGGACTAAACTGTCAAACCAGGTTAGTGACTCGCGTGTTCATAATCATCCTCTGTCAGATTATCGCAGTCACTAACCTGGTCACTAACCTGGGTTTCTCTCCAAGACATCCAAGTCATTGTTTGAATAAATGCTTTTTAATGAATCCACTTGCCTGAGTTCTGGGTCCTAGCTTGGTATTGCTGTGTAGAAAAATGTGGCTAATTTGTTCTCAACAGCAAAAACAGTGTCTTTTTTGAACTGTCCTGTTACTCTCTGTGACTTAGAGCAGGGGTTTTCCAGGCCAAGGACCCAAAGTGATGGCAAGATGGAGCGAGGACCAACTAATTATATATATTGTATGCAATTGCATGCAATTGTGTTTTATCAAACTGGTCCTATAGTCACTCTATTACAGATGGTGTAATGTAACGAAAGTAATTTCACCCTGGGATTAATAAAGTATTTCTGAATCTAATTCCTCGTAGATGGGACAGGTGTTGTGAATGAAACGTTGCCCAGCTTGAAAGAGCTCCTCTGTGTCGCTGAATGTAGCATTGATGACTGAAAGACATCTTCTGTCTACATTAATTTGTTTACTACAGTGTGTTAAACTCACGTTGATGTTTATTTAAAGACATTTCAATTAATGGAAAAAATTGCAGGGGGGAATATAAAAAAAAGTCTAATGAACCAAAAAGTTCGTGACCCCCATGCAGTACCTCCGTGGACCCTCTAGGGGTCACAGACCCCCTGTTGTAGACCTCCGACTTAGAGGATGTACAGTTTAAAACTTAGATTTCTGAACAAGTACATGAAAAGCTTTTGAGAGAGAAACAAATATTGTTGGAAATAACAGATCTTATCTTGATTTAGGTTGTAGTTATCAGAATTTGTAATTGTGGTTGATAGAGGTTTATGTTGAAGGCAACATGGCTCTTTGCCCAGGGTGCTACTGTACTTGGTGACAGCAAGTCACTCAGCTGTGAGAGAGAACATTTTCTACTTCCTATTTTCATTTATGTCAGTTAAGAGTAAGAATTAGTTTGTATTCTAAATGATGTAAGCATTGTAAGAAAACTTCTGTATATATAACATGAGTGGGTATTGATGCTGAGATTGTTATCTGATTCAAGATTTCTTTTCAGCCTACACTAGGCTTTCACACTTTTTTTTTTTATGCCTGAGTTGCATTTTATTGTCTTACGTTCAAAATCTAAAACACCTGACATGATCAAATTTTAACCACATAGTCTGAGCAGATTCTTAAAAAAACAGAGCTGGAGAGTTATTTAATATTTGCAAGGTTTTAAAAAAAAAACAAAGGCAAAAGTAAATGCTATTTCAACAGTGAGTCGACATAAATTAAAAAAAAAAGTATCTAACAAACTTTAATAGTAACATTTGGGAACATAGAAGTTATGACATAACAGTTCATGCTCAATAGCTTTACCTGTTGACAACAAAGTGAAGTATCCTTCAGGAAAGCCTCGGGAACTGTAGGCTCGACAGGTATAATTGAGGTGGAAATCTTCCTCCCTCAGTTCAGAGAACAGAAGCAGCCTTTCTAACCACACACCCTTTGGTTCATCTTGAGTCCACAAACTGTTGAAGTCAAATCAAGCAATGGCCTTAGAAGGTTGTGTAACAATGTTCCACAATTTTAAATGTGATCGTATGAAAGAGCAGAAGACAATTTAAAGTTACAAACCGCTTCTCCGACATGTGGATTCGTTCAGATGGCTTGTTGGGAATGAACGTATAGTTGACAAACCAAAAGGCATCAACGAATGGCATTCCAACACCTGGTATAAATACTAAACACCTCTGTGTGAGGTTCGACCCTAAAAGCAGAAAACAAATTATGAATATTTAAGCCTGAATATATTTTTTTAGCCTAACCATCATCCATCCATCCCTTTTTAATCACACTTATGCCTGCTGGGATCATGAGGGGTGCTGGTGCCTATCTCCAGCTGTCAATGGGTGAGAGGCGGGGTACAGGTCTGCAGTCTATGGCAGGGCAACACTAGCCTCGTGAGACCATCCTGATCTCACGAGCTTTCAAGGTTTCACTCGCAGATCAGTCTGGAGACTCTCCGTTAAAGAAAATTTGGAGCCGTTCATCAAAGGAACGTCCAATCAGCGTTGGCTTGAGGTGTGACGCAACGAGAAGCGTGACAGTTCAGTCTAAAGAACATGGCGGCTTCAGCCGATGAAACTAGCGTTAGCGTGGCTATCGAGCAAGTTTTATCGGAATTACAGAGTATTTCTTCACTGAAAGAAGAGCAAAACACTGCTCTGGAGGCTTTTCTCAGAGGAAAATATTTTTTTGCTCTTCTCCTGACTGATTTCGGCAAGAGTTTGATCTATCAATTGGCTCCTCTTCGTCGTCGCTCTGTTAGTACGTCATATGCTTCGTTGATCTGATTGGTTTATTTGGCCCGTCTATCACCAACATAGGCCAATCAGCTAACCAGTATTTTCGCCCCTTCCCAAAATTATTTCAACGGAAGGTTTCCAGGTGGATATGCGGAGCAAATCCATCTGGCGGAGTCAGGTTAGGGCAATACAGAGACTTACGAAAACATACAACCATTCATGCACACACTCACATCTATGGAGAATTCAGAGAAGTCAGTTAACCTAACAGTCATGTTTTTGGACTGTGGGAGGAAACCAGAGTACCTGGAGAGAACCCACACATGCACAGGGAGAACATGGAAACATGTATACCTTGGTCAGTAAATTCATACTGTACATTGGTAGTGGGATTATTTTGTTTCATACTGAGGAAAACATTTATTTAATTAATTATAAGACATGCTCTAGAAATGTTTGAGGACCTAAGCATACTACATGAACAGTCACACCTAAATCTTTATTTAAACTATTTTATTTAAACAAATGTATTTTAGTTATTATAGTTTGGGATATTTGGTACAAAACATTGCCGCTATAAAGGCAGATTATTTCAAGCAGGGTTTTGTTGAAACAAATGTTTTGTATTTTTTTTGTTTTGTTCGGGACAAATTGAGCTGCAGAGGAAACCAATTAATGAAAATCGGCCGAAAATTGTTCCAAGTCCGAGCTTGGGCCCTAAGTTGCATACTGCTCCCTCACCATAGCTCCCTCCCTGCTACTAGCATGGCTTTAATATTCTTACTGATTTCAGATATTCAGATTGAGCTAAAGTCTCACCTTTTACAGCCTTGACGATTTTGTTTCCTGGTTCATGAATTTCTGGTAACAGAAAGTAGGAATCTAAAAGCACATGAAAAAAAGAACAAACAAGTTTGATGTTGCTGTTAGCTGGCTTTTTAGGGATCAAAGTAAATAAAGATCTGCCATTGCAATTTTTTAGTAATTGCATGTTACTTTAGCATAAAACTATAATTCTCCGCAAACATAAAATCGTATTGAGAAAAAGACAATATGTTTGTTTGTAATGAAATGCTGACAATCAGATAATGAAATTCAAATAGCATTATGTCTCAAACTCAACCAAAACAAATGTTTACAGCATTATCAAAGCTTCTTCATGTCATGCAAGAATGTCAGCATTTCTTTCCAATAGATGATCATGGTGATAGTTATAGACCATATTTACATGTAACTCCAAGTTTTCCATGGTGCAAAAAATTACAGGCTGCATGACAGTCACACTAAAGGGTGTGGATGTTAAAATTTGTAAACATAAATCAATCTTAATTTATGAGCAATTATACATCCATATCAAAGGGCCTCAATGTTTTCAGCTTAGACAGGGTCTCCCACCCTCACAGTCCTTCTTGTTCCCGGTGCCCCTAGTCCTACCACAGTTCTTCCTTCCACTCAATTTTCAGTTAACATCCCTGGGTACAGAACTCTGTGAACAACCAACTTCTTTATCAATGATCTTTTCTGGCTTATTCTCCTTGTAAAGGGGATCTTCTGGTCATTTGTCAAACACATGCTTAGAATATATAATAATATATATAATAAATGTTTTCCTTTTACTCAATATTCACATTTTTAAATGCACCTATATGTCTATATTATGTCCTCACTGGTTATGATCTTTCCATCTAACTAATATCTGTACATGGATTTTAATTTTTTTCACCTTTACATTAAAATAAAGTGGCTATTTCAAAAGTAGGCTGTAAAAATGATCTGTGCTGCTAAGTAAAAATAAAGTGCATTATCCATGTCATCTTACCTCTGACCGTTACTTCAATGGTTTCCGATACAGATCCATTTACGCCATCAAGGGTAAACATCAGAGTACAGGTATATGTGCCACCGTTTTCATTTTCCACTCTGTCTATGGTTAGTTTGTTCCTGTCCCGGAAGGTATGCCTTCCTGGTTCATCCAGTATGGGGTCACAGCCCTGTTGGGATAAAGAAGTAGAACATTTTAGTTTTCTGTACTTACTTTGAAGACTACGGAAGAGGATTAGGGCCACTGAAAAAAAAAAAAAGTTAACTGATTTTTTTTTTTTGTATTTCAGTAAGTATGGGAAAAAAGTCAGAATTCTGACTTTAATCTCAGAATTCTGACTTTTTTCTCAGAATTCTGACTTTTTTATTGTTAGAATTCTGAGATTAAAGTCAGAATCCCAATAAGAAGAGCCAATAATCAAATTACCTTGCCATTTGTAAAATGTCATTATCATCATTATTTTAGAGGGAATATGTTCTCATGCCATTTTATCAACTAAGTTCTTCACTTAATTGTGAAGAAATAGGTCAGACAGCCTAGAACATTAAACCAGATCTATACACACAATCTGTTTTTCTCAATATCTGACTTAAAATCATAATAAACATTTTGTTCATTTGCCATTTGGGAAAAAAAACAATACACTGAAAAACTTTAATTAAAAAAAATATTTGATACAATGGTTTATTTGTCCTGAGTACAGACACAGTATCTGTCATGGTGATTAGTAACATCACTGAATCAGGGAGGCAACACTAATGTCAGAACATTTTATTCAGCATCACACTATACCAAAACATTTCCATATTTCTGTACTACAGTTTTAGATATCTAATGCAAATTTCCACAGTTTTATGTTCAGACTAGTGATGGGAAAAAGGTAGACCGCTGTCTACCCTTGACTGCAGGTAAAACATTTACTACATATGACCTCTGAACAGAATCCACCAACAGAAACTACAAGCTGAGCTTCTATGTAACACAGAGGAAGAGGAATATGTACTGGACTTGTCTTTTTGCTGTATAAACATATAACTCCTCCATTTAGTGAGAGTTAAAGTGAAAAATAAGCATTTTATAAATCCTGTCCTGCAGATATTCTAGAAGATAGAAAATAAGTTCTTCCTGCTGACTTTTTTTTAGCCCCTCTCCACCTGGCCAATAAGGAAATAAAAAATCATTTTATACGTACTTTATACCAAGTGACAGAGGAGCTGATGCCGTAGCTGTCCAGTTTATCCATATAGTCCCTTAGTGGGCAGTGCAAGGTGTCAGACAGATCTTTTGTGAGTACTTGATAAGCTTTCAGTGGCCTTCCACACTCTCCATCAATTGGCATATTTACCACCAGCTTGGTGGACTGCATGTAGCACTGAGCGGGAGTTCTGCAAGGAAAAACAATCCAGGAGGATGTGAAGTTTAACCTAAGCCATCAGTACATTTAAAATGTATTTCTTTATGTCAACTACAGTACTATGGAGAACCAGCTCTACTATATCTAAATAAATAAATGCTCAAAAAATTCATAAGCATGCAATTAATACAATAAATAAATAAATGTAGGTTGAAATGAAATTATAGCGCTAGACATAAATGTATATATCTATTTTAGTTAGCTTCTTTATTTATTCGCCTTTGTAATAATTACCTTATTTTTTATTGTCCGCTAAATTTTGAACTTTATTTATTAATTTTTAATATTTATATATGTGCATGTTATAATATTTTTTTTTTTGTATTATTTTTCCTTTGTATTTTTTACCCTATTAGTTTCTTCAAAGCTATTTATTTCTGCCTGTCGTTTTTAAATTTCCGTATGCATTTCTGCCTCATAATGCAAATGAGGAAGGGTTGTGTCTTAGAGGGTCAACCTCGGCCCATTAATTAATTGTATTTTTGTTTATTTATTGAGCATTTATTTATTTCGGTATTTATTTTTAAATATCGTAGAGTCCTCCATACAGTACTATATAATATCAGGATATTGATAAACTATGTTAACTTTTGCTAATGTTCTCCCAATATCATTCTACTTGATGTTTATTTTCTCTTTGAGACATGCCAGGTTTACAGTACGTAATAATGTACAGAGTGACTGTAATCTTAGAGGGGATGTAAACAGAATGACATGCTTATCTCAAAAGTAGATCAGACAAACAGCTGTGGTTAGAAAGAAGGTGAGGGAGGCATTGCTTTTTTCTTCTTCTTTTTTTTTTTTTTTTTGTTCCACATCCCGTCTAAGCCTCTTCTGATAAATTCGGGGGAAAAGTGACAAACCACAATGTAACATTGTAGAACACAAAACCCCTTTTTGCAACAGTCAGGATAAAAAAATGTCCACAAAAATCAGGATGCTTCTTTTTTTAATGTAGCCACAAATATTATTGTTGAAAACAAAAAAAAGAAAGAAAAAAAGAAAAACAGTCACAAACATAACCTATTTGTCTGTTTCATTTAAAGTTGACTTGAATCTTGTTGAGGTAAAACCTTATAACAACCATGATGTCTTTTGTTTGGATTTTAATTTTTGAGAAGGATTAACTGTGTTAATACAAACTCATACCTGTCTATGGCAGAGGTCAACAACTTCTACATTTCCTAAGATACTTTTTTTATTTTTTAAATAAGCCCAAAAAAAAGATTTCTTTTTTGTTCAGCATCTCATTTTTCTTTTTTTACTTTCTAGACAAAAAAAATGTATTTTTACTGATATTGTTGCATAAAATATTGTGAAAAATCCTCATAAATAACATTAAAATCCTGAACATAATTAGTGAGTTAAAAAGTGCAGATTAAACATAACACCACCTTGTAATCTCATAAACTTGTAATTTAAAGAGTTATTAAGCATTAAACAGTATTACTTTAATAAACTCTGAAGTAGAAAGACTGGTCCTCATTGGTACAGTAACAGATATTCTAATCAGCACATCTTACCTCAGTACAGTTACGTAATCTCCATCATCATCCATAGTGGTGTTAAGGAACCATAGAGTCTCCCTAGTTACCAGAACTTGACCGGTCACATTTCTCATTTCTTGTCCGCTCTTTGTGCTGTACCAGGTGATGTTGAACGGGGTGGTGGTGAAGTTAAAGACATCTGGAGACAACAGGGTGCTGTTCAGCATGGCCACGTCCCCGGGAACAGAGAACACTCTTTCAAACTGGAGCTCATAGTTCGTGCATTTCTCTGCAACACAAAATCATTAAAAGATTACAGTGATATCTCCAGTTGCCCAGTGCTCAGCTCTTAATCCTTTGCATTATCACAGTACATTCAATGCAGTTTACTTATCCAATCAGCAAGAACCTCATACTCTTATAAAATTATAAACCTTTATAAAGAGATATAAATGTTTTTGGGACTATTGCTCAAATATATATATATATATATTTATTTTTTTTTTTTTTGCCGGATTACAATAAGTTGCTCATCACTCACTTCATGACTATAATTGTAAATCCTCAGTTTAAAAAAAAAAACATGTTATTTTTAGTAGTGTTGCACAGATACGATACCAGTATCGGACGGGGCCTCGATACTGCACTAAAATGGTGATATCCAAGTAGTATGCAGTTTTTCATATATACACACACACATCAATGTCAAACAGATGGTATGGGTATCGGCCATAACTGCACAGCCAGGTATCGGGTATAACAGTATCAGGGCCAATAAATGAAATTGGTGCAACACTAATTTTTAGTCTGCAAGAGGGCATATTCAACCTTTATTTCATCTTCATTTGAACGTAAAACCGCAGTTGCTTTATGGGGTGTTCTCCCAAAGGAGGGCATTTGCTAGGCTGCAAGCTCCCCTTGTCCTTATCCGAAAGTTTTCTGCTTGAGGCGTTTGAAAAGCGGTAGGCGCTTTACAAACGCAGCCTGCCGCAGGCGACGGGAGGAGTAAAGAGAAAGAGCCAAATTCCCTTGTGATGTACCACTAAAGAGGAAGGGACCACTAAAGATGAATAATATTACTAATAGTACAATCATTATAATCATCAGGTGTGGATTCTAAGCATATGCTCCAGTCAGAGTCAGAGATGGGAAGTAATGAAGTACAAATACTTCGTTACTGTATTCAAGTAGATTTTTCTGATATTTTTACTTTACTTTACTACTTATTTTTATGGCGACTTTTTACTTCTACTCCTTACATTTTTACACAAATATCTGTACTTTCTACTCCTTACATTTTAAAAAATTGGCTCGTTACTTTAGTTTTGAATCATTTCAATGGAGTTACCGTTATTATTTTTCACGTCATCAATACCAAATTCAATCTAATTGGATGGGAATCTACGTTGCATTTGACGCACCACTACAAGATGAATCGACAGATTCGGGTGTATTCATTCGCGGCAAATCATTGCAGCTTGGTGGCGGTGGCGTTAGCATAGTAGTATGGACGACGAGATGATTGAAAATGAACACAACGGAGATCTAGTCCTATTGGCAGACATCCATTTAAAATGTAGGCAACGGCATGAAAAAAGTGGTTTCTACTTTTACTTTTATACTTTAAGTAAATTTACAAGCCTGTACTTTGTTACTTTTACTTGAGTAAAGAAGTTTAATCAGTACTTCCACTTTTACCAGAGTATTTTTTAACACAAGTATCTGTACTTTTACTCAAGTACGGAAAGTGAGTACTTTTGCCATCTCTGGTCAGAGTCCCAACTCAAAGCTCACAGTATCAGGTATTAGATAGTAAATTATTATGTAGGTGATAGGGAGATTATCCAACCTGAAAAATCTACCATGAAAATATAATCCTCTAAATATCAGGGGAAACATGCAAAACACTGGTAAGCAAATATTAAAAGGGTTAAAGTGCTGTAACACTAATAATTAAAGCTCTGAATATTATTAAGAAAGGCATAAATCATTTTGCACATGCCACAATCAAAGTTACAGGGATTCTCTTCAAATCAAATACAGATTTATACATTAAATCTTTAAAAAAAAAAACATTTTTCAAAACACTTTTAAGTGGCATGTTGCATTTCTGTCCACAAGAGGGCAGTGCAATTCCAGCACAAGCTTAGTTGACTAATCAAAAAATGCAAATGGTATATTTGTAAGCTTATTTCTAACATTGTTAGAGACCATCACCTTGGTTGTGTATGTTTAAAATATTTATATAAAGATAAAATAAAACAAACCTTTCATGATAAACTCAGCCTGTGCCAGCCCTGCCCCGATCTCTAAAATCCAGAGGAATAACAGAAGGCCCATTGCTGAAAATAGAAGGAAAAATATAAATAATTAGATCAAATGAACTGAAGCAACAATCTAAGGACTATATGTCAGCTAATATCATTTTATATAAACAAACAGTGCAATTCTTTTCTAACAAATTTCTCTTTCTCTCTCTTCTTTCCTTCCATGTGTTCCCACTTTCCTTATCTCCTTTCCCTTCTATTCCTCAACCACAGATGATTAGTATCCTCCTGGTACTGGAAATGTAGTTGCAGAAATCTCTGATAAAATGCTGAGTAATGCTTTCAAACCAGAAACAAGTCATGATACGGGATAACTATAAGAATTTGATGACGCATGTAAACCCAAATGGAAAAAAAGAAACCTCAATCTGTGGGTGTATAAATGTTAATCATTTGCTAGTCTGAGCCACTGTAAACATAAATTGCCAGTTTTTCTTGTGAAGTTTTTAAAAAATATGTATATTAGATGTTACTTATGTTTTTAAGCTCAAATCTCTTTCTCTGTTGTTTAAAAACCTGAGAGCTTTTTAAAGTGATGCTGAAGTCAGACTGTGAAGATCAAAAACAACGCTCCTCCTTGGTTGGTTTAATTTTTAAGAATGTAAAGACCTTTCTTTTTTTTACCACATTTTTTCTTCTATTAGCTAAAAAATATATATTTTTAAATATTAGCACAGGCATTTGTAAGATAAGTAAATAATGTTAGCAGTTTTTCCAATCTTACTTTTTATGCTAAATACTTATAATCTTATAAAAATATTTGCTAATCTAATGTGTGTGCATTTAAACTGTAATTCAGGTTTGAGAGCTTCATGGCACTGAAGGAGCTCTAAAACCTGAAGAAAAGTCTTTCTTCATATTTTATGCAGGTTATAGAGCTCTTCATAGCACTGAAAGAGGATTGGTGATAATCGACTTGCGTCTTTGCTTTTCATATTATATCTCAATGCTTCATTTTCTCCAATTAATCAAAATATTCTCTCACAAATTGCTGGTGAAGATTCTCAATCATCCACGTCACAATTATTCCAAAAGAAGGAAATAAAAAACAATCCACTAGACTTTGTTTCCAAGTTTGAAGATGTTTCGCTGTATGGCGCAAAGAAAGGCCTCTATATTAAGAATGAAAAACCAGCCTTAAACAGAGGGGGTGGACTCAGGTTCAGCTTTCAAAAACCTGCAATGCAGCAATTTAGTCAACCCCTTCCCACTATCATTGCAGCCCCACCCCCTGTACAGGAGAGCGGAGGACCTTGCCTATTCAGCCAGGCCAACGATTCCCCTTAACAACCCCCCTTTCACACACTTAGACGGGTATGGGGCATTACAGGCTAACAAAGGAAGCCAAACAACCCCCATTCCAAAGGGGTGGACCCCTTCGTCCGTTTATATTTGCATATTTTCTAAACAAAAACAAGGTTTTGAATAAAGCCTCAAACTCAATGATATTCCTGACATTTTTAATTGAAAAAACTTCTTGGATAGGAAGCGAAACATCTTCAAATTTGGAAACAAAGTCCTGTGGATTGTTTTTAATTGTCTTTTTAGGAATCTCTTAGAAATTAAACTTGCAAAATGAATTCAGGGAACAGGAATAGAGTCGTTTCATTGTATTTGTAGGGGTGTGGATCTGCAGACCTCAACTGAGGATTTTGTCAGACAGTGGAATGAAACCCCTGAGAATCTTCTCAACCCAGCCATTCTACTTTCCCTGTTGAAAGCAAAGACTGGTTTCTCAGAGTCTGACTTGTGTATCACCCAGGCTAACGTCACTGAGGAGGTCAATAACTTCCATCTGCCAAGGTAATGAGATCTTCCCCATGTGTGTCCAGTCTCTAGTTGTTTTGGGTCTGGGATTGCTGACATGCCTCTTTAACTTCACATGCTGACTGGGGAATATACCTTAGGACTGGCAAACTGGGGTGGTAGTTCATATTCACAAGAAGGGTGACGACAGAGTGTGTTTCAACTAGGGGATTACACTCCTCAGCTTCCCTGGGAAGGCTTGTGCCAGGATACCTTTACTAGGGGCCACCTGGTCTTTGTACAAGCAAAACCAGAGTCTTGTCTGTGTCGCTGGCTTGAAGTCAGAGCTGTTCCCTCTGCATTTTTGACTCAAGAAAAGCTGTCCCTCTGTCCCCTCATGTTGAGAACGGACATGGGCAGGATTTCTAGGCACAGCTAAAGACTGGAGGGGTCTGATTCTGGGATCAGTGGATTTCATCATTGCTTTCACATATGGGCGTGTAATGCTGCTTCTCTCTAGCCTAGACTTACAACATGCATTGGGCCTGTTCACATCCGGGGCCGAAGCTGGCATGAAAATCACCTCTTCCAAGTCCGAGACCATACTTCTGGACCAGAAAAAGGAGCTTGGCCTCATCAGACTGTAGGGGAGTTCCTAGAGGGGGATTAAGTGTACCCCTCAAAAGGAACATTAATACTTCTGAAGAAATACTTTTGTGTTTGTGGTTGTCTGCAGTTTCATGATAATTGATGGTTAAAAGTTTATTTAGGTTTGCAGTTAAAATGATGACTGAGCCTCCAGTTTGTATGTGGATTTTCATAATTTGTTTAAAGCAAATTTCTTATCTCACCTTGTGGGATGCACTCAAAGCATACATGCGTGGACAATTTATCTCTTACACCGCCCGTATGAGGAGTGATTCAAAAAGGGAATGTAACGAGCTGATCCGCCAAATCGGAATTAGTGACAAGCAATATGCCCAGAATAAGTGTCCAAACCTATACAAGAAAAGGGTGGAGTTGAAAACTAGATTTGACCTGCTCACCACCCACCATGTTGAACGGCTGCTCTTGAGAAATAAAACCATGTTCTATACCTACGGAGACAAGTCGGACAAATTATTAGCCAACCTACTTAAGGGCTTTAGGGCAAAGCAGGCTATCTCTAAAATACAGTCAGATTCCGGTCAAATCATATCTGATCCGTTTGAA